AAGCCTGCAAATAGGGCTCTCGAGTCTCTAAAAGGACCTCAACGCTAAAACAGGGCTTGATGAGCGTCAAAGGGGCCCATTACAGCCGGACAGCCACCTTACCACGATTCCCCTGGGCGCTAAGTCCTTGGTACGCCACTGGGCGTCCCACAGGCGCCCCGCTTTGCAAAACAAGAACTGGGGACTTGGAATTTAGAGGAGCCCCACCATTTGTAAGGGTGCAAGGGGAGCACGGCCCAATGCCCCCTTTAGGTGCATCCATGCTTCTTCTCTTTCTACTCTCGTGGACCACCGCCTTCAGCAATTTCCCTCTTTAGCATTTATGGCGATACGGCGGGCAAACGATCACAAACCTGTAAGATCACCGTCGTCAACGCGCCAGTTCAGCGTACGCCTGGCTGCCTGCGCCGCCTGAAGCCCTGTCTGAAAAGCGCTATGAGAGAGAAGAAGCTGTCGGGAGTAACGGAAATCAGCCTGGAATGCGATAACTCGTGAGCTTTCCGAGCAGTGTGGCGAGCTGCCTTTCTAGACAGACACCCTGAAAAGACAGGCCCTAAAATCACGAGCACGCGGGAAGGCCCCTCAGGGCTTTGATTACGTCAACAGCGTCGTCGACCAGGAAGCGCGCAAAATCGCACATGACAGGTGCGCAATGGTTTTTGGCGAAGTGGCAAGATGCACGGACCTCTCTTTTGCCAAAAGCATAGTCCCTTGGAACACATGCTATACAGAATGCCCTGAGTGGTCTCACGGCTTGTGCGATGCCTAGCACAAATATCCATGTTTTGGTGAGCATTTATACACATATGACAGCAATTGGCATGGTGGTTAGAAAGGTACTACACAGTGGATTGATTTCATTTAACATCTACGCTTGAAATTTGTGGCGTGAAAACCGGTAAATAATACATTTCTGTCGCGAAAGAAGCATCTAAGGTCTTCAAGGAACATATATATTTTCAATTTTTCTTGACACACGCTTTCATTTATATGACGACTTTCCTAAGCTGGGTCGTTGCATTTATTTGATGTGATATGCGTATATATGTTATGATACATGATACATGAGATATGATACATGATATTACGCACTATGTTGGTTATTTGCCACTTATGGGTCGAATTTCATCCAGCGATACACCTCCATATTCAATTGACGGCCTATGCCCCCCTTACCATTAATACCGATATATGGTTTCAAACCACCGGTGAGACATAGCATGCATCAACTTTTCCGAGTGCGACAAATGAGTGGAATGTCTCGCATTGGCACAAATCGGCAAATCGGTAAATCAGCACTCACGACCAGATAGTGTTTGACTATCATGCTGATAACAATACGTTCGCAGACCCATACTTAAAAACACTTCACAAGGGAGATATGTAAACCCTTGTCAGCCAGATTAACACCATACAGACATCCAGTCCCTCCAGCATTGTCGGGCTTCGACATTCCGACGGCGGATAACTGTAAGCCATTTGAAGCATACGGCACCGAAGACGCATGAAGGAAGCGCTGACAGTAAGGCACGAATATAATTGAATAGTTACCCTTGGATGAGCAGAACGCGGCAGTAGTAGCTGTATCGCTGAGGTGCAGCGTCCCAGCCGAGGGGCGAAACCAGCTCGAGCGAGCGAAGCGCACTGGCGAACTGGTCGGCAGCCGAACCACATGGCTGAGCGAGCTTAACTATTGCCATCTGTTGAGACTGCCCGGAAACAGACGAGCCACCAGCCACGCCCGCCAACCGATGACGAAAAGCTGATGAAAATGTCATAGTACTCTGCAACTGAGCCGCGTGCACTTGCCTCGTGGCGCGTGGGGGTTAGCGGGGCGGGACAGCGGTTAGTGACTCAGTCGTTATCAATCCGTTCCTATCAAGTCACGGAAGCCGCGTAATTCATGACAATAACGCCAACTCATCGGTCTGCGGTATCCCAGCTACACACAGCGGAAGCCGTAACTTCAGGCTGTGTCGCAACACATGGCTGCCCCGCGGAACAATGACGTCGAGGCGCACGACGTACTCGGAGCTGCGCAGATCGAAGGCGTGGGCCATTGATAGTCGGCGGGTGCAACAGCACAAGGCAGTTCAGTTGGCGCGCGCACGCGCGCGCACACACGCACACACACACGCACACACACACACACACACAAGTGCGCGTGCGCGCACATACGTATACGTACACGCACACACGCACACACACACACACACCACACACACACACACACACACACACACACACACACACGCACATACACACACACACACACACCACACACACACACACACACACACACAACACACACACACGCACACACACACACACGCACACACACACACACACACACGCACACACACACACATTCGAGTATCATCGACGTGGGCTTTTTATGAGCATTGTTCGTTTCTAGCAGGTTGGTTTGCCCAGGGTAGCTTTCTATCCGTTGGAAGAGAGGGGCGGGGGGAGGCTAGAGTCCTCCCGCATTGAATGGAAAGTGAATATATCCAAGGTAAATAAAAAAATAATAATCCAAGGTAAGATATATTGTTTCGGTGTGTTTTTAGTGCAGCTTAGGTCATCTTTTCCTAATCAACCCACAAGAAGATATTTTGCAACCCTACACCCTTGGGTTTTTTATATGTCTAGACAAAATGCTGACAAGCTTCCCAATTTTTGCTCATCTGGCACTAGCCTACTTTCCGCCAGGCGACATTACTGAACTAGCTTTGAAAGATTTCATCATGAAGCTTGGTTTTCAAACACTTTCTACCGATCGTGCGGCTGCTCCCAAACTGACTAAACTAAACTAAAAAAACTAAAAAAACTAAACTAAACGCTAAACGCCAAACTGCTCCCAAACGCTTTTCAAAACGTTGGGTTAAAAAAAACAACGAGCGTTGTCTGGTTTCAGACTAGTTTCAATAACACAAAAGTGGCATATTGCGGTGAGCTGTATCCTATGAACGCATACATTTGGTTCAAAGGAGAGCAAAATCCAGTTTCACTACTCACTCACTACTGGTTCTCATTTTCCAGCATGAGATTGACACCGCCCGTCTGGCGTCTAGTCCAGGAAGCTGTCATTCTCCCCTAGAGCGTGTAAGTCGAGGGTGACGGCCGGGCGCTTCCTTTCTCGCGAACAACCCCTGTAGCAGACGAGTGGCGGACTCGAACTGCGAGTCACATGCTGTCCAGATTGGTTCCATCGCTGTCTCTACATGCGGGTGTGGAGTTGGCAGTTCGGAGCTGACAGTTAGTTTTCGGCGAATGAAGGTGAAATGGATTCTTACGGAAACTTCCGTGGGCCACTGACAGAGCTGAGTCCGCCATCTGGGCATGGACGAAACTACCACAGGGTGGGTTTGGTCCGGGACCTAGCGGCTTTCGGCTAGATGGAATTTTTTCTCATAAAAACAGGCACCAAGAGACAAACCGACTTTACCAGAATGTAAACAGAATGTTACGTCCGTGTGGCGTGAATATCGGCTCAAGTCATGAAGCAGTTGACTCAAACGGAAATGCGAATAGCATGCGAAACACTTTGAACCTGGTAGCTTGGATTTGGGTACGTTCAGCGAGTGAAATGCCTCATGCTTTGCTCTCTTATTATCAAATTGAATGTCCATTGAGACTTTTTAAGCAGCTTAACAGCGACACAATTATCTACCGCTTATCACAGGAAACGCCCCCATCGAAATAAACTTCGAGACCAGACCCCATCACCCCGATTCGGAATCGCAATCAAGTGAAAATGAGATTGAGCCGCTCGGGGTCAGCGTAGGAGACAGCTGATTGCGCTACGAGTCAAATTCAATCCTGGCCCAGACGAAGGAGCCGAACGTGCACGCCGACTTCGGGTTCAGGCTTCGGGCATTGGACTCCTCCAATCTACAGAGGGTGGACTTGAAGCTAGATCTGTGGCTTAGACTCGGGCAATGGAACTTAGACTCGGACCATCGGACTCAGTTTTTGCAGAGAATCTTGTCCGATTTAAGTAATTTGCATTGCTGCTGACTAACAAGTGGCCGTGAGCGATCTTGATGCATCTTACCATCTTGGAGAGGAGAGTACTTTGCCCACGTCGCCGCGGGTTTCGCTATGCGGTCGGCATCGAGCGGGCGCCGTATTCGTGTATGACGCAGGCCCGCTTGCATACGGTCCCACGGGCACACCTTACGTAATTTTGAAGCGCAGCATGGCCTTGCCGTAATTCTAACATTTTTCAAACCGTCTCGCAACATCTTGATGGATTACATTTTTTGCGTCACTTTGACACAATGGTAAGTGCCTGGTTTGCGTCCCTTGTAAGCTCCCTATATACTCTGCGGATGCCGCGTACTGAGCACTGGGCAGGCCTCCGCGGAGCTTCCCACGATCCGCACCTTTCGGAGTAATGCATCTCACGGCCAGGATTCAGTGCAATGAAGTGCACTGCTGAGCGTGATAATGAAGCTTAAAAGTGGTAGCGTGATAATGTAAGTTAAAAGTGGTTGATAAGTTTGCTTACAGGAGGAATTAAATGTGTCAACCTTATAGCTATGTTCGGTGAATCTCACTTCACGATCACTGCGCATGTCCTTGGTTGTCCTTATGAAAGCATGAAATATACTTTGTGTTTTCACAGAGTATAAAATATGCGTTATGCTCGTTCTAATGTTAAGTATTAAATATATGTGGTGGGTCAGTATGAAAAGGCATGCTGACGGCATGACGCTCACGAAAAATGCCAGCATACTTTGGCATATCTTCTCTTTTATCACGAGCCTAAGGTTTTTAAAACGTCCCTTCAGTTGTCAGGGCTCTATTGCAGGCGTGAACGTACTCCCCTTAAGACAATGCTACACGACAGCGTGGCACCCTTCGCGGGTGTGGCTATCTGAAACGAAGATTTTTGATAGTAAATACAATGAAGGCCTTGGATCATCATGGGCAGTGCTGACGCACTGCAACTGCGAAACGGCCCAGAGCCGGTACTATCTGAGAGAAACCCCCGCGATAAGCGGTCGTTCTGTATTTGTTACAAGGACGAATTAGCGCAAAGCTGCTGTTAGTTGTCATATTCGAACAACCAGGTCAGTCTTAACTACGCAGGTCACCACCAGGTGTCGACAGCGTACCTCTGACACTGGGAGAGCTGTGACAACGCATGAACACACACAAGGGCGCAGTAACGATCATTAGTCATACGCATCCAAACAATGTTTACGCCATGTTCAGTGGGCGACTGCAGTAAAGTAGCCGCACAATTGGACGGACTCGTGTTACCCAGGCCGCACGTGGTCCATGAAGAAGGGCCAAGAGCCTAAATCTCATCACTTTTAAGAAACGTCTAGTCAAACGCCGATCGCTATATATTACATTGGCATGCATAATATGTTACTTCGCACTGGTACATGCTCCGACCATAAGGAAAGCATATGACGGTGGAGGGTGCTGAGCAGCAATGGAATGTATTCATATTTAAATAACCACCAATATCCACTGGTCATCGGCGCCCATGCACACAAAAATGTCTCAGAGTGCTACTTTTAAAATGTACATCATAATCTAGCCGTTACCGATAGTTTAAAACTTTTGGTGTTCGCCCCGCCACGGCATTGCGGATCGACTCCATAAGCACAGGTTTCTCGCTTAGCCGCCCGATGGCGCTAGTTGTTACAGCTGCACCTGAGAGCCTCTCCACGACATTTGACCGCCATAGCCGCCGTATATTGATCCGTAGAATTCCGAGCCGGGGCCCAGCTTGTTGGAACCGGGAGAATATCCACCCTGAAAACACAGATAGTCGCGTCAACCAGAAGGCTTCCGGTACTTTCTCCGAGGTTGTTTCCTTTCACAGTGACGTTTCTTGCATGATTTTCAGAATCCAGTTTCGTAATCTGATGCAAAACAGACAGGACGCCCTGGGGATCAGTCGGTGATGTTTGTCTCATTCGCGTTTGTCTCAACACGTCCAAAATTCTTAACCACCGCCTGGTATAATGTCTCAGTTCTGACACCGCAGTGCTTCCCGCCCTCACTCATCCCAATTCGAGATCTATTTGAGAGCAGGATGCGTTATTTTGCAGAAGCTCAGCCTCCTCCGACTAAAACAATTATTAACTTCGAGTCACAAGACCGATAGACAGGAGGCCCGACGACGCACTGCGCCCTCGTGCACAACGCCATCCACCATGCCATCATAAAAATTGCAAAAAGCTCAACAATATGGACACATCCTTACCACCTCATTTCCACAGTCACGCATTTCGTCTTCGGCTTGATCTGCACAATATCGTTTTAGCAGCCTGAGAATGCAGTGGCATATTCGCAATCTTTTGCTTCATCTCAGAGACGCATACGGTGACACATTAGACAATAACACAGCATCACTGCTAACGAGCCTTCTCTCCTGGCCTCGAGCGTATGAGCAGCACGGCGACTCACATGGAGGTATCGATTGAGCTCCTCCTGGGTGTCGAAGATGGCCACGTTGAAGGGACTGCCGGGCACGTGGTCGCCGGACCACTTCACCTCTATCCTGTAGTCGCCCGGCTCTGTCGGGTCGTACTTGCAGAGGATGATGCGGTCCTTCTGAGATTCGCGCTGCATCTCCACACGGAAGGCAGCTGCCGACAGGGCGGCCGTCAGTCAGCAGCCGCGCTCTCGTGTGTAGATGCACGTGCACCAGCCAGAGTGCAGGTTTGTTCTGATTGGTGCACGCACGAGCTACCAAATGTCCACATTCCGAGCACTGTATTCTTAACCCCGGCGGTATCTGGTCGAACGGAAGTTGACGCAGAACTGCGCAGCGAACGTGCACGAACGGATTGAGAACAAACTCGCGTCTATCCTGACAGACTAGCCTCCTGACCATGGCACGAGCGGGTGGCGTGCGCTAACGCCACCCAAACACGGCCGGGCGGCAGGCGAGCGACCTCCCCTCCCCTCCAGGTCCGCGCGGCCGGCCGAGCCCCTCACCTTTGGGGCCGCGGATGCGGACGGTCAGCTGGCCGGCGCCGGCGCCGCGCGTGTCGCACATGAAGCGCGACTGGTAGAGCGAGAGCACGCCCGGCTCCACGCCCGGCCCGTAGACGCGCACCTTGCTGGCGTCCGGCGGGCCAGCGATGCGCAGCGTGAACGGGCTGCCCGGCACATGCTCGCCTGCAGCGGGGGCGGCCGTGGCCGCGCTGACGTCACGCCGGGCGGAGGGCGCATGCGCACCGCCGGGGAGACGGCGGAGTGGGGATGTCGTGCTGCTGACTCGGGGGCGCGGCAGGGGGCGCGGTGCGCCAGAGGACTGCGCGGAACGGAGTAGGTGCGGGACTGGAGGACTGAAGTGAGTGAGAGTCGACGTGAAGACGGTGTGAGAGCCATCAGACGTACTTGTCGTTAGCTTTTACAGGGAAGCCGGTGGTCATATGAAACACCGTACAGAAAACGACTCAACTATAGGTAGAAAATGCGTTAAACAATGATCAATGGCGTCGCCAGCTGTAAGACTGAGGAGACATACCTGACGGTTGGTGTGGGATAGGACCGCCGCCTCGGGGGCGGGTGGTGATACAGGTTTGGTTGAACCAAAGTCCAAAAAGGTGCACTTATTTTCAATGCCACCCGTATTTCGTTTTCTGTTTTCTTAGGATTGTTCTAAAGCAAACGCCCTAACGTTCTAAAACAAAGAAGTATTCAACTTTCTGCCTCGTAGCGACACCAGACTTAAACAGCCGTATTTTCCATTCAGTTCTGATTACGTTGGTGCATATTGTTATGTGTTTTGAGCATACATTCGTGGTATATGGCTCCGTTAATGTAGCATTGCCGGACTGCCGTGCACGTTCCGCGGCATCGTTGCCCGCCGCCCGACGCGCGCGCCCGCCCACCGTATATCGTTCCTCAAAAACCGTTGCTGCTCCGAAACCAGAAAAGGTAGAAACCTGTGTTTGATGTTAGTACACGTACAATGGATGTCTCGGAGGCTGCTAAAAATTGGGGCGCGACTGCACAACATGCCGGAGAATTATCCCCAAAAAGCCTTAGAGATGAGTGATTCGCATCGAACCCCCTCCCCCTATCAGGACGAGGGTTAAGCTCCCGTGGCGCCTCTTCCCTACCCCACCCCATTTCACTGTGGAGACGCTTATACTATTAACACGGCTGTAGTATACGCATCCTACGTCCCTGAGCACCGACTTTAAAACCATGCAGCAATCTCCCAGAATATTACACTTAAACGCATTTTAGTTCCACTGCTTTTTCGTCCAGAGAGCAAAGCAGGCTAGGTTTGGGATCCGAGCTCAACCCTCGTGGACTACGGCGGAGCGTCGGCACCGTCCACGCCAGAGGCCAGCCCCAGTACCGCCGTATTTGATGATGAGCTGATGGCGTCCCGGCTCCTGCGGCTTGAGGTTGAGGCTGAACGTGCCGTCCTGGTGGTCGTACAGCTCGGAGAAGGCCGTCTTGTGCGGGCCGACGCAGTGGGCGGAGAGCTCGCCGGGCCCTGCGCGGCGCGTGTCCAGGAACGACTTGATCTCGTGGCCGACCACGCCGCCGCGCAGGCCATCGCCGGTGCAGATGACGCGGCTGGCGTCGGCCACCGCCGCCACCGTCACCTTCAGCGGGCAGCCCTTGATTTGCCTGCGGCCCGACAGACCGGTCAGCTGCCGCGCGTGGTAGGGCGACGAGCCCGCTGACGCCAGCCCCAGGAACGCTGTGCTTTGAGGGTGTTGAGCGCGCATGTCGTGACACCCACAATAAACGGCATAACGCCGGCTCTTGAAAAGCAGCTACTTGTTGCAAAGGCAAATATTTGTTGACGTTTTCTGAACACCCACTGATTGGCTGAAGATATTCTGTCCTCCAGTGTCAGTAAAATTCCAACCACAAATAAATCACAAGCAAGTGCAATCAACTGACTATAACAGATCAGTGTTTGCCAACCATACGGAGAACCTCCGATGCACGGACAGCCTGACCCGGCCACCCTGGGTCGCGCCAGGCTAGCCGGCCACAACCAGTCGCGAGAGCTGACCCCATCCGGCGGCGTAACCTGACCTGCCCGACCAGGCGACGTTGAGCAGGTAGGCGCCGGCCACGGACGGCGTGTAGGCAGCCCGGTAGATGTTGTTGCCGGTGTGGTGCAGGTGGACGTTGATGTCGACCTTGACGCCGCTCATGGTGACCTCGGGCGACCCTGCACCGCCCGATCATCTTAGGTCAGACATGGCGTCGGCACCGCCTCCCGGCCCACACCACGGCGTTCACAGCGTTGGCACGAGGCGCACTAATGGCTGATACAGCACGCGATGCGCAGCTCACAGGGGCTTGCCACGCGAGACACTGCCGACAGATACTTGTCGCGCGAGACACTGCTGACAGGGGCTTGTCACGCGAGACACTGCTGACAGGGGGTTGTCGCGGGTGGCGCTAATATGCTTTAGGAGGATAACTCAATGAACCGGCGTGCTGACGCGCAAATGATAACTTTTCTAGCAGTCATCAAAGTCGCGTCCGCTGGCGAGGCAGAAGACATTGCACAATACACGGATTAGGTACAAAGGCCGCCAGCATGTTTCTCCCTGTGGGGTGACGGGACGAGTCCGGGTGTGCCGCCGTGTATGGCGAACGGGGGTGTCAGGCCGTGTCGTGACCCATGACCTCACCGGGCCCCGCCTGCGAGCCGTCGATGGTGAACTCGGCCTCCTCGCCGCAGCGGGCGTTGGCCAGGCCGTGACCGCGCAGCACCACCCGCGAGCTGTCCGACGACGAGCTCATCGTGTCCGCGAACGCTGAAATACAAATTATTACGTCAGCAAACGCTGAAATACAAATTATTACGTCAGCGAACGCTGCAATACAAATTATTACGTCAGCAAACGCTGAAATACAAAGTGATTACGTCAGCGAACGCTGCAATACAAACGTGGGCAGGTCTCACGTGAGTCTCTCTCAGTTGTTTAGTGTAAAGCTATTCCACGTTGTTTCAGATTATGTGAGCTTTGGGTCTCAACGCCCAGTCACCGATTGATTGCCGCGTAGCAGCCAAGAATGGTGTCACATTCTCAGGCCGCTGATGCATGTAGCTGCAGCGAAAGATTCATAAAACATTCGGACGGCTTGCCTGTAGACGCATACCTATCAGTGAATGCATTTGGTGCACAAAACTTTCACAAATCACTCGATCATAGCATTACAGGCACGGTAATGCATAAAAGATTAACTATACCTCTCAATCACGTTTCTTGTTCTATGCCTGGGGCTTACTCATCCGCATTACACGGTTCAATAAACGAATGGATTCCTGTCGCTACCACCACGGCAAACCGCAGGCACAGTCAGCACCATAGGATGACAGGCCAAAACCTCGTCCGGAATTTCCCGGGAGTTACCGGGAAAGTGGCGGAGGAAAGAGAAATGGGCTGACATGAGCACGTGACTGGGCCTACCGACTGACGTCTGGCCTCGGCCCTGCCCGCCGACCCACCGAGGAAGGGCGAGCCGGGCAGCGCCAGGTCGTTCCAGTAGAGGTAGAGCAGGTGCTGACCGGCCTCCTGGGGCACGAACGAGACGCGGGAGCGCGAGGCCGACGGCTGGTCGACGCGGCACGGGATGGTGGCGTTGCTGCCGCTGCGGACCTCACCGCGCAGCTTGCCTGTCGGCGGCGGACGGCGGGGGTCAGCAGGCGACAGCGGCGGCGGCAGGGAGGGAGGGACCGAAAGCCCCAGCAGCACAGGGCAAGACAGTTGCCCGGGCGGCGGCGGCGGGGAGAGAGGGACCGGCAGCAACCAGGCACAGGGCGAGACATCTGACCGAGCGGCGGCGGGGAAAGACCGACAGCCCCAACGACACAGGACAAGACATCTGACCGAGCGGCGGCGGGGAAAGACCGACAGCCCCAGCAGCACAGGGCAAGACAGCTGCCCGGGCGGCGGCAGCGGGGAGGGAGGGGCCGACAGCAACCAGGCCCAGGACAAGACATCTGACCGAGCGGCGGCGGGGAGGGGGACCGACGGCCCCAACGGCGCAGGACAAGACATCTGACCGAGCGGCGGCGGGAGGGAGGGACCGACAGCCCTCGTAGGACTAAGATTGCGCCTAGGGCAGCCCGAGTGCTAGTACGTCAGCTGGCCCGTACTCCGCATGCTTCTGCGCAAGTCATGCGAGTCTTACATTGGATACAATGCACATGTTGTGTGGAGTGGTGTAAGCACGATCGCCGATCGTGTTGCCACAAAGACGGCACTATGCGAGAGGTACCTCGGCACGAACGAGCAACACGGCCCTATGTGAGCCGCAGTTGACTTGAATTTGAACTTGAACATATGTTCAAGTAGGGAAACACATGCGTGCAGTCATCCTCGTTCGAGACCCGCAGGACATGCTTCACACTTGCGTACTGCCTGGATTATGCAAACTTTGCCTATACAACAACCCTATGGCTATACAGGGTAACCGATGCCGCCATGCTCTCTACATGGCATGTGGTTATCATCCGATCGGCCTCAGAAAATATAACAACGGGCAGATATATCTGGACCCACGACAAACGCGTTTGTACAAGAGTGTTGACATAGTGCCCCTCGTAACACTGCCAACCCCAGCACCAGCACTTCAGTCTTTTCCCCAGGGTCCGACACTCGCGAGGACTTCAGAGTAGATGACGGCCAAACATGGCGATACTTGCCGGGTCCGGCCTCGGCCACGTCGAACACCAGCTTCTTCTCCTCGGCGACCGAGAGCTCGAGCCGTCCCTCGCGGTCCTGCTGGCTCTCCCAGCCGCCGATCACGCGCACCTGCCGGTCAGGCGCAGACACGACCGGGATCAGACACGACCAGGATCAGACAGGGTTCAGACACGACCGGGCCGGGTTCAGACCGGGTTCAGACACAACCAGGAGCAGGCACGACAAGGCAGACGAAATCAGACCCAGATACGAGCCTGCCCAGACAAGTCCAGACCCAGACAAGACCAGACTCAGACACGACCAAGCCCAGACAAGACCAGACCCAGACACGACCCAGCCTAGACAACACCAGGCCCAGATATGACCCCGGTCAGACAAGACCAGATCCAGACAGTACCGCTACATCCGTCAGCGTTCCTGTTTGGAATTCGCGTGCGGTGGGCACACAGGCAGGAGCAAAACCCAGCAAAACAACTCAAAACAAATCGCAACTACTGTAACACAAAACGGCCACCTACACGCAGCCCGAGAGCCGAGACCTGAGACAGCGCAGCCGCCGTAACGTACCTTCCTGGGGTCGATGACCTTGGGGTGGAAGGGCGAGCCGGGCACCTCGCGGCCGTTCCAGAGGACGCGCACGTCGAAGAGGCCGACCTCGCGCGGTGTGTAGGTGACCAGGTAGCGGCCGGGCGCCTCCTCCTCGACGCTGGTCTTGGCCACGCTGTCCGGCCCGTCCACCTGCACCTGGAGACGGCGGCACGGCCAGGGTCATGGCGGCCCCGCCGGGGGCGGACGCGGAGAGGTCAGCGCAGCCGAGGACGAACTGAGGGAGTCACCAAAGAAGTGGCGGGGTGCGCGCGGGGACGGACCGAGGGAGTCACTAGAGAAGCGGGGGTATGTCGGGGACGGACCGAGGGAGTCACTAGAGAAGCGGTGGCAGGCCGGGGACGGAATGAGGTGGGAACCCAATCCCGCCTGATGCATTAAGTAGCAACTTCACCGTCAGTGGCCGAAGCCGCCCGCTAATTGTGCCTCAGACGGCTAAGTATCCTACCACCAGTGCAAGCCATGTTTGCTCAGATGACATTGCAGCCGCCGGGTGAAATTAAGTGACAAAGATCGCTTCGCCAACAAACTGGGTTCAACTTACAGCCATGGTTTTTTTAGCACAATTTGGCGAATTATATTAACACTTAGAGGCTAGTATCGATCTTTTTTGCTAGTCACTAAACGAAAACGCACGATTAATCGCTTGATAGTTTCCGAGGCGTGCTGCCGTGGCCATACACGTCAGAAAGCCTCGTTCCAGATGTAGCGAGGGAGCCATACACAGACAGGAAACGCTCGTGCCAGTTCTTCAGTCAGATGCCATGCGTGCTCGACAACTGAATTTTGAGTTGAGGCGTCCCCTACCCCACCGCCTTTAGTGGTGGGGTCGGGTGCATCTCACCACACAGTGATTCACCGCCAGTGACTCTCAGTGCGCCGCACCGCAGCGGAGTGCCCCAGCTGCGACAGCGGGCCGTACCTGCGGCTCGCCCATCAGGCCGACGGCGTCCAGCTTGAAGGTGGCCGGCTGGCCGAGCTGGCCGCACGCCAGGCCGTCGCCGAACACGCGCGCCATGCCCTCCTCCTCCACCACGAACGTCAGCGGCGAGCCTGCGCCGGCCACGGCACGTCAGCGGCCAGCCGGCAGGCCCGTGCTCGACGCGCCACACAGTCAGCTGGGTACGACTACAGGCCGCGGGTGTCCGATCCGGCCGGCCGCAGACGTGTCACGTGCTGCTTCCTTAAGATGCTATGATTAAATGCACCGAAAATTAGCCTAAAATTGCTAATGATGGGACCCGCAAAGAAACGTCACAAACCCTCTGAGATTCTTCATCTTATATGTGTGCTCCAGCGCACCACGGTGTCCCTTGCCATAACAACATTTCATCTAGCATCTCTCCTCTCCCCTCAATAAGCGGATCTGACTCTATAACCCCGCAACAACAGACCATCTAGCAAGTAGCAGAACCTCGTGGGAACAGAACTTCTGTTCATGGGAACCCCGAACAGAACGTGGGAGCTAGGCCCACTCAGGTCATACTCCTACAAGTCCAGGCCACCGAGCAGGGTTTTCCTCAGCTCCGTTCGTGGCAGCCCCCAAGTGCCTGCTTTCTCTCTGTCGGCATCCGCTCCCCCCGCGGCATCCGCGTCTCCCCGGCTGGCGTCGGCTCACCGGGCACCTCCTCTCCGCCGTAGGTGATGGCCAGCTTGTAGCGGCCCGGCACGGTCGGCAGAAACTCGATCGCTTCGCCGTCCTCGTTCGTGGCCGTCACGTCAATTGGCAGGTTCTTGCCCAGCGGTGACGTCACCGTGACGTCAAGCTCGGCCAGGCCTGCGCTCTGCCGGCTCACTGGAGACCAGGTGACGTCACAAGGTGAGCGACGTCTCGGGATTGGGCAGCGCGGTAGATGACAGTGCGGTGACGTCATCGACGAAACAATCAGACAAACGGTAAGGCCGGTGCTTTCCTAAACACGCATGGGCAATGCCAGATGTTTTCTTACGGCCTGCCGTTTTCTTATGCTACTACAGGCCCGGCCGAAAAGCCTCCAATGATCTGGAGCAAGCGACGTGAATCCAATGACACACGGCAGCAAAAGCGGCCGCTCTGCCTCGATACCCGCGTCTGAACGTCTCATCTGGTCGGGGCCCTCCCCACGGACGGCCGGCACTCACGGTTGACGGTGATCTTCTCGTTGATGCTGAACTGTTTGGCCTTGAGCTCGTCGATGACCACCTTGGAGGCGTCGTACGTCTGGCAGGTGAAGGGCGAGCCGCGGATGGGCTTCAGGTCGTGCAGCACCTCCACCGTGTACGGGCCTGTCGGGCACGCGGCTGCGCGCTGCTCAGGCACAGGCGCGGTGCGGTCCAGACCGACAGATGGCAATGTGGGGACAGCAGGGAGATGAAGTGTCACGAAGTCATTGAAAGGGCTTCACACCAGAGTTTGCACTGGGCAGGCATGTTCAGGTCCTGCCGCCGCCACCAGGCATGCTCAGATCCTGTCACCGCTCATGAGCCCGTCTGGTCCCAGACATGAATAGCGATCATATTACGGGTCACGAATGTGGTCTACGCAAGCCGATCTCTTATCAAATGTCGGCCGCAGACGGGGGTCGAGAGTCTAAGGAGAGGGAGATCGTTGGTCCCTACAGCAGTACCCGCCATGTCACGAATAACAGCGGTAATCAGCGGAGATTTCACGAACAGGCCGAAATGATACCTGAAAAGTTTGAGCTTCAGTCGGTCGTGCAAGACACGACGGTTGTGTGCTTTGAAAACGGTGTGCAGCGCATTCACCGACAAACTACCGGCAGAGCATTCCTCAACTGTGGTTAATTAGTCCCCTGAAGTGTGTCAGTTGTACGTGTTGGCCTCAAACAACGCGATTGGTGTTCACTGTGCCAGACTCATGGCAGACGATGCAATAAATCGACACCCGGGGTCTTCCGTTCCTGGAAAGCAGTCGGCGCCAGCTTCTGCCCCGGGCGCCCTCCGCCCACACGTCACCCGGTATATCTGGCCCGTGGCACCTGCCTCTCCCCGCCCCTCTGCCGCTCGGGCAGACGGTAAAACCCGCTTGGGGGTGGCATTTGCATCTCCCTGCCCCTCTGCCGTCCGGACGGACGGCAGAGCTCCGCTCCGTAGTGGCACCTGCCTCCTCACTGCCCCTCTGCCGCTCGGGCGGATGGCAGAGCCTACTCGGCGGTGGCACCTGACTCTCCCCGCTCCCCCCCCCCCTCCCCACCATCCTTCCTCTTACTCGGCTCCCGCCACTCACCGGCCACGCCGGGCACGAACTCCACCAGCATGTTGCCGTCCTTCTGCTGGTAGCACTTGACGGGGACGGCGGCGCCGCCCGGAGACGTCACCACCACGTCGAACTCCTTGCCGGCGTGGCCCAGCGTCTCCAGCACGAACGAGGTGGGCTTGCTGGCGCGCGACTGGTGCAGACCGAGCCCGGAGGCCGTGATGGACTTGCCCTGGGCCGGGTTTCGCACCTCCATCTCCACCGGACAGCCTGGCGAGAGGGCCGCGCACGGTCAGCGCACACCCGGCTGCAGCAGGGCCCGGCTAGCCCGGCGATGGTCTGGACGACTTGACCGGGAAACATCCCAAGCATCTCGAAATGATGCCTGCCCCTGAACCTCACGAAATCACCTAATTTTCTTAATTCACGCGACAGTGCGTGAGTTGACTAGCGTTGCTCCGCACTACAGAATCCTAAATGCAGTAAGTTGTCAATATCCCACTGACTGGCTTAAAATATATCACATACAGCCCCAATAAATCAGCTTTAGACTACCCGTCACTGCGAAACGACCAGCGGAATTCTGTTCAAAAAACATCCCCTGACAGCCAGCAGCGGGGCGGTCTCGTGGCCGGCACGCCAGGCGGCGGCTCTCGCACTCACCGGAGACAGGCACACTGTTGTACTTGACGTCCACCTTGTGTGGGATGGCCACCTTGGGCGTGAAGATGACCTCGTACTGGCCGGCGCCCAGGTCCCGGATCGAGTGTTTGACCTCCTGGCCGGCGGCGCGCACCGAGACGGACAGCGTGCCGCGGCCCGCCTGCGACGCGTCCACTGCGGCCGACGGGGCGGGCTCAGCGGTGACGTCGCACAGCGACGGCACTCAGCGGTGACGTCACACAGTGACAGCACTCAGCGGTGACGTCACACAGCGACGGCATCACATCCCCCAACTCACACACGACCGGCGACGGCATCACATCCCCCGGCTTACACACGACCTGTGACGGCATGCTGGCAGACACACTTGGACTTGTTCGGTTCGGAGTCGCTGCGCATCACATACGCTACGCGTGAATCCCTGGCACATTAAATTTACACTAAATCCCAGGCGAGGGCATCTAGGAAACAGCTGCTACGACGCGAAGCATCTACCACCTGCAGCTATTGAACGACAAGATCGACCTTGCGTCAGGACGGCCGAATCGGGCCTCCGGTCGGTCCGGCACGTATGTCCCACCTTTGAGGACGGCCTCGCGTCCGGCGGCGGCCGGCTCGCCCGGCCGCAGCCGCACCCGGTTGGGGTCGGCCACCTCCACCACGTAGGGCTGCTTGCTGATGGTCTGGCCGCCGTGGTAGACGGAGACGGTGTAGGCGCCCACCTCGGCCGCCCGGTACTCGGCCCGGTACAGGCCCGACTTGAGCCGCGTCAGCCGGCTCGGCACCTCGCTGCCTTGCGGCCCTGCCGAGTCGGGTCACAGCGCATGTCAGGTCAGGTCACAACACGCCGCGACAGGGGATGGCACGCAGTGCATTATTGGCGCATCGCGTGCTCGTTGTGACTTTATGCTTTAGGAATAGGTAATCTTAAAAATAGTCAAAAACAAAATAAGGATATTTCGGCAATATTGTTACTGGAATAGGTCTTGGCAATGCTTGGACGGAACTCATGAATCCCTCGTCAGTCTTGACGTCGGTCAGAAAACGACCATTCAAAAAAACGACCGAAGGGATATCGGCAATGGTAGCGTTAAAAGGATCGCGGTCGAGTTTGGTCTGAGGTAACTAAACCCTGCTACCGGACTCTAAACTGATGTTTGCCTTTATGCCTCTCAGACAGCAAGCAACGGAATCCACGACGAAACGACGTGGGACAACGGAAGGAGCCACTCACCGACGATCTTGACCTCCACCTCGCCCTCCATGCCCTTGGCGTCGACGTCGAAGGTGGCCCAGCTGCCGCTGACCACCTGCTTGAGCCCGTCGCCGCGTGCCGTCACCATCTTGCTCTCCTTGCGCTGGATGTGGCGCATCTCGCGCGCGTCCAGCTCGCGCACGTCACACTTGAACGGGCTCCCTGGCGGGCGGCCGGCGGCGACCGTGAGCGTCCGACACACAGGCCATCAGAGCACGGCTCTGAAGGCGCGCCGAAAGGCGTGGCAATACATCTGGTGCTATGACGCAATTTGCCGACAGGGTTAAGCATATACGTATTCTCGGGCTGGCTAGTTTGGCTATGTCCGTGCGCTTGCTGACAGAAGCGTTGCTGACGCCACAGAAGATCACAGTGTGTCATACGGCCATCGCGCGAGCAAAACGAGATCACTGTAAGCCTCTAATCTGTGTTGTGCCCAAAACCACGTCACGCACCTGGCACGTCCTCTTCGTTGAATGTGACGTTCACGAAGTGTGGAATGGCCTCCTGGGCCACGAATGTGACGTCATACAGGCCACGGCTGCGGGCGGCCACCTGAAACAGCAAAGCATGAGGTCAGCGCACGTACTGAATGGCTCGCTCCGGGTACGAACAGTTGCCGAAATAAGAGCAGCCTGACGCCCTCCTCGTCAGCAATGCTCAGGCACGTAGCCAAGATTTTTCTGCGGGGCTAGATGTTTTCTCAAAATATTTTCATATGTTCAAACATTTTTTCCGAAATTTTGAAAATCTAAAACGAATCCCTCCGAAATTCCCCAGTATCCCCTGGTGTAAGCTTCATGGCTCATGTGGACGACGTCATTGCACCACGGCCCTACCCTTGGCTACATCGCCGCCACTGCCAAAGACACATTGACAGCACGTGGCTGAAGCGGACCTACAAGCCTAGCAGGTCTTCAAGCATCAAAGTACTATGCCAAAAAGCGCACGCCCAGTCCTCTTAACAGAGCAGCCGGCGTACAGCGCGTGGTCCAGGCGGCGCGCGTCGCGGCCGCCGTGGCCCCGACTGTGACCGGGGGGCACTGACCTCGGCGCGCACGGTGGCCTTGCCGGTGGTGACGACCAGCTCGAGTGTGCCCTCGCCGGCGTGGGACGCGTCGACAGTGAAGGTCACCGGCCGGCCCACCTGCAGCGCGACGGCGTCGTCACACCCACACGTGACGTCACTGGTGAGAGGGACCGAGCGGCCGCCGCGCTGGCGCGTTCGTGGCAGGAATGAGGCGTGATTAGCTGCACCTCGAGGAAGTTGTGGAAGCAGTTCACACCTCTGCTTTCAAGATTCGCAAACGATTCCCAGCTACGCCGGACGCTTAAATTGTGAAGCTCAAACGCAAGCCATACTCGATGTGTTATCTCAAGCCGCAAAAAAGCAAATACGGAATGCTGCTGAGAATTGTTTCACATCTTACAACAGCAATCAACGACGCAAACAACATGGGCCAGATAAGCTGGGCTAAACCAACGACTGCTGGGTCATCTCATTATCCGTTTCTCGCATTGCCCAAAGCGCACACACGCACAAATGGTGCGGCCCGGCCAGAGCGCCGCCACCTGCGCGCCGCTAGCTGCGCGTCGCCGGTCCGGCCCGCTGTCCGGCCCACCTTGGTGTTCTCCAGGCCGGTGACCACCACGCGGCCGACGTCGTAGATGTTACAGGTGAAGGGCGAGCCGCCGACGGGCTCGCCGTCCATGACGACGCTGACGGTGTGGGGCCCGACCTCTGCCGGCTGGAACTCGGCGCTGTACCGGCCGCTGGCGCCCTGCTGCAGCCGCACCGGCACCGACGCCCCCGCCGGCGACGTCACTGCGGGGCGCGCGGAGGTCAGGTGGGGCCAAAGGAGATCACAGAAATACAGGGTGTCCTGCTGCAGCCGCACCAGCACCGACGCCCCCGCCGGCGACATCACTGCGGGACGCGCGAAGGTCAGGTGGGATCACGGGAGGTCACAGAGATACAGGGTGTCCTGCTGCAAGGTCAGGTGGGATCAGGGGAGGTCACAGGGGACACGGGACACTCCTCTATGACACCACTGAGGGACACAACTGGCTATGGTTACACGTCACGGGGGCGGGTAGCCAGGGTGGTCGGCGGGCGGGATTTGACCGTTGTAGTTACACCAAGATCGGCCGCATACTGCACCAGGGGACATACAGGAAATTAAGACCTGTCTATAAATCATGCTAATACGTTTTCCTGATGGGCACCACACATTACACAAATAAAGCAAATAAGCCAGACCAGTAGCGTTGAATAGCAGGAAAACTGCAACGCTTTCAGTCTCCTGGAAAACATGGTTATACACTGATGAAGAGCTTCATGACAACTATCACTTTCTTATGAAACTGCATCAGGTCATAGGTGTGTTTTCTGTCGAGCAATCTAGCATGCGGAGGACACCCTAACTGACCGAAGCAGCCCAGGTGGGCGACAGTCAGCCACTCAGGGCTGCCAGCTGGGGGAGAGGGAGGGGGGGGGGAGGCGGAAGATACGAGTGCTGCTGGGTGGAACGGCGCGCATGCGAATGAGCTTTCGATTGCGGGACGTGCATTCCTGAGGAGACCACAACAGAACGCAACGCCACTACAGCGGCTAATCAACATGACCACACTTTCGCCGGCCAGATCGGACCGCTGGCATCATGAGCTTTCGCTTTGCTCCCGGTATGTGCATAAAGGTCAGACTTAACCATCGTTGCAGCAAAGCCTAGTGCCAATGACGCCGAGCAAAACAGTCGCAGTCACCGTCACAGGGTCCAACATGATGCAGGGCTAAATGTGACGCGCTGATTTGGATTGCGACAGTTAGACAGAATACCAAAGGAACGCAATGATTTTTGTATTATTTATGCCGGTTTCTGATTTGGTGAATGCCGTTTCATTGCACGGCGTACACCGCCGTACAGTCAGACAAACGCGGTACCGCGCTGCAGGTCTTATTGGATAACAAATGAACACATTAAACGGTCCAAGATATTGCTTACAGCATAGTTTGAAACGGTCATTCAACAGGTTTAACGTACTTTCTACGTGGGCTGCAAACTAAAACTTGTATAGGTTGATAACACTGGGTTGAAAGACAACATTCATGAATCATGCACGATCTACGTTTGCTGGAGATGGAACATTCTGCTCGAGATGGAACATTCTGCTCGAGATGGAACATTCCGCTGGAGATGGAACATTCTGGTCGAGATGGAACATTCAGCGGTACATTCAACGCTGACATGAGCGCACAATATGGAACATTCCTGTAATCCACGCACACACAAACTAACATGCTTTCCTGGACCAAAGCAGATTCTGAGCACCAGTACTACAAATGGAGGCTAGTGACAACATCGGAATGTATTAAGGTGGTATCTTCGTATATTCTGGATGGGAAATAACATGAAGTGTCTGGTTCATAAGTAGGCGCAATCGTTCCCGATAATGCTTCTCGAATCGACTTTTAATGTCATCTAAGCCACAGTCAGCTAGAGCATCACCTGTGAGCCCAACACATCAGCTGATAAAACACAGCAAATCTGGTGGCGACATGCTCCCACGCGCCGCCTGAGGGTCGCGAGCCGGGGCCCTGCACATGACAGCACAAGCTAAAGACGACGTGTACCGCATCAATGATCATCGAGGTACGGTCCCAGCAAGAGAGCTACCGACGGCAAGAGATTCAGGACGGAGGAAGCCTATTGGCATTTCTCCGTCCTCACGGCCGGCGTCTGACTCACGCGACTACGTCGGTCTGCCTGACCACCTGCTCCGCCTGCGCCGCGCGCACTCACGCGAGCTGCGCCGAGCGTGCTCCTCAGCCCAGCGCGCGGCTCCCCTCCAGCCTCCTGAGACGCGGAGGATGGCCGCGTCGCGCGCCGCTCGCCAGACCCGCACCGCCGGCGTCCGGTCACACCTCTCCGAGAGCGCGGCGCGCGCCGGCCGTGACCGGACGTCCCCGTCCGGCTCCACGCGGGTACTACCCGGCGCGGCCCGGCGCCGCCGCCCGGCCCGACGCTTTCCCGCCAGCTGCCGGCGCGGCGGCAGCGGCGGCCGCACTTTCTCGCGACCGCGGCGGGCGGACCGCCGGCGCGGTATGCATGCCCGCCTGACGAACGGACGCCGCCGCTTTCTCGGCCCGTCACCGGACGCCGATGGCGCCAGCGGCTGACGCGAGGACGGGTGACGCCAGCGCCGGCGGTGGCGGCCGCAGGAGGGAGAGGGGGCAGGCCTCCCGGACGGCGCCCGAGGCGCGGGCGTGCGGCCGAGCCTGGTTACATGTGCTCGGGACGCGCTGGAGCGGCACGAGCGCCCGGTCCGTGTCACGCAATGACGGTGCTCGCAGTGACGAGTGTGACGCAATCTAATGGTGGACACGGCCGCCGGCATTGTCTCTGGGGGCTCTAAGGGAGAGGTTATGTGCGTAGCACAGCGCTAGGAGCACTTACATTACAAAACACGGCTATTCCGTTTAGAGCGATTGCCTGGGCATCGCCGTCATAAGACAAGGCTTTTCAGGGAAGTACGGCATGCTAATGATCTCTCTTATCACAGTGGTGTGGTCATCCGCATTGTTGTAGCGCTTGACTTTCCCACTGACCATTTGGCAGGCAGCGTTCCGGCCGGTCTTCGCTGCGGAATGACGAGCGATACGTGTCGCAACTCTGCACGCCCGTCCAAGGAATGGCCAACTCATCGCCTTTCGAATAGCAGCCGGACGCTGCATTCACTGCACTCCGGTCAAAATGGTCAACTGCCACGTCTTACGTCAAGGCAGTCGCTAGAAAGTTCGATTGCGCATCCGAACAGTCACAGTTTTTCAAAGAAAGTCACAAGCCTTCGCGTTGCAGCTGGTGAATTTTCAGGAATTGAACAGCTCTTTCTCAAAACCAGTAGCATGCACTCATCGCGTGACGTGTTCAAGTCATTCCCACGAACATGGAGAGCCTCCATACACTGACACTGACACTGACACTGGTGACACTATCGCCGATGGGCGTGACGGCGCGCCGTTAGTCCTTACGTTAGTCCTTGTCCGTTAGTTAGGTAAATTACATTTCCAAGGCTGAGAACATGCTAGTAAGAAGCAGGCCCACCCCCGTGGCACCCGAACAATTTGTTTCTTCTCACGCTGACACCGGACCTCGGCTCGTTCGTTCCAGCATGCCTGATGACGACACGAGGAGCGTGGCCACCAGTCCGCGCTATAACTCCGGTGAGTCTGAAGCCTTTGTCCCAGGCAGTTTGGTGCTGTTGCGCCAATGTGGCGGACCGTTGCCACACAAACCGAGCCACTGGGTCTCGAATGTGGGCCAGGGTAGTCATTCGTTCATCGTATTGTTCTCCGTAGCCGATTCGTTCTGCCTGGTTGGAGGGAGTCGGCTAGCCTCACCAAACTGTCCGGTTTATGGTCACCAAAACAGCCTCATTACACCTAGTTTAAAAATAATGAAACCAACCCAGGCAGTGAGCCGCGTACCGGTCTGCGGGGAGCCAGCCATAGTGGCTGTCGTCTGATCCCGCAAAAGCTAGGCTGCGGCACGTGTTTTTGTCGTGATCGCAGGCATGCTTGTTTGTTTGTTTTTGGTCAATTCAAGGCGTAGATCGGGCACCTATGTCACATGAAAGACGTCTTGTGGAATACGTTTCGTAGAATTCTCCGAAAATGCTCCTGGAAACAGCTGGCCGTATGGAATAGTACGCCAGTCACCACGTAAGAACGAAATTATTTTCATAATTCTGGAACTTTCATACTTCACACACGCGGTCCGAAGCGATGCCAACTAACGCACCAGCCATCTTAATTGCAGTTGCGCATACTTTTCAGCTTAGGGAGGCTACGTCACCGCAGAGATGGCAGCTTGGCACAGCGCCACCGACCGAGTTAAAGAATCGACCCGCTTTTAGGCGTGACGTCATACCGGAAGCCAAACGAAAACGGAAAAGCGTCACATGAAAAACGGAGAACGTCGTGCAGAAGCGGAAACGCCTGATACGCTCAATATTCGTTTCGTGTAGACGGGGCGATCACACCCGCTGAAGCTAGCCTCAGCAAATTTCAAAACGTCGGGATCGTTGAGCAAAATGATGGGATCAACAGACGATGGGAGATCAATGTTCAACAGCCTGTGAGGCCGATACCGGAAGCTCAACCAAGGATCGCTATGGATGGCCAATGCAAATGTGCGTTCAGTTCTGGATTTTGCCAGCAAAGCTTGAGCATAAGTCACTCAGGTCCATTTACGACGGCTGGAGCAGGGACGAGTTTAGACCATGAGTTTTACTTTTCCCCTGTCGAACTCAAAGTAATCTTGCCAGCACGTCTGACTGCAGCCGTAACAACACGGCATGATGTCACCAAGCCCGTCCAATGACAATGCTGCCGGGACCTATTGCTGCTGTACCGAGTAAGGACAGGTGGACAGATACTGCACCTTCAGTGCCCAGAATCTCGCGTTCCTATTCGCGTTCCTGCCCGCGTTCCCGCCCGGGTTCCTGTCCGCGTTCCTGTCCGCGTTCCCGCCTGCATTCCTGTCCGCGTTCCTGCCCACACGACTGGGCCGCAGATGGCACATGCACCAGCATGCCTAAATACAGCCCTCATACCCCCCCTCTGTCCTTGGTTACCACGCCGAGTCAACAGCATTGTAAAGTCGCGCCAGTCATCTGATGCCTTCGTTGATATCGAAATATATCGACCATGATCGATGTGGTATTGTTTAAAAAAGGAAAACGCTGAGACTACGATTTTCACAGCATGATATCTGGAGGCAATGCTGACAATTCACCATCTAGCACAACGTGTTGCGGACAAAAGTTCGCATAGAGAAAAGATCGTAATGGCAAGGTGTTTCGTAGCATAGACATCGCGTACCTACTAAGTTCGTTAGGATAAAGTAAATAGGCGATACAAAGCACGTAGGTGATGAAAGCTGGTTAATTGACGTTTGTTAACGCTCAAATGCTCGGAAGATAAAAGGTTGCATAAGATGATTAACTGGTAAATGAATAAATTCGGTCGTCCGGAAAAAGGTTCGTAACGAAAATGCGTGCGCGCGAGCATATGTTTAGTGTAGGACAAAAGTATAGTACGGCATATGTTCGTATGCCAGATTAGGTGTAAGTATATCAAGGTTCGCAGCGGGGAGAGTTCGCCAGGGAAAGCTCGTGGAACAAAGAAGCAGTCTGCGGAAAAGTTCACGTGCCGATGCATCAGGTAAGTAGCTACACAAAACTCATGAGGAATATTTCTCAGCGATAATTTCGTTTGGCAATGTACGTGCGTAAAAAGGTGCATGCAGATACGTACTGCACGTAAAATGCAGATGCCCATCTTTGGTATTGGGCGTCAGATGAGGGGTCATTGCGGGGCCACCACATTCCGGACACCGAGGGATGGGAGGGCGTAAGGGTTGGCGGTGGACAGCCAGCTGACAGACGCGGCGAGAGGCGGCTCCCTTGTGGAATGCGCCGGGCATAAGCGCCGGTGGTACGGGCTATATAATTGGTTATATAAATTAAAGCCCAGTCCAGAGAATAAGATGTACTCGCTGGACCGACTTTGACACACCCTCTCCTATGAGGACCTTGTTTGTTCCCGACCCAATATATCCAGAAGCTGTCGTTTTTAAACTATACGCCTGGCAGAGTTAGAAATAACACAATGGAATTTCACGCCTTAGAACATCCCACGGAAACCTAATTTCGAAAAAATCTGAGGAGAGCTGACGTTACATAACCATATGAGTGTATGCGCATATGAGTATTATTCATACAAACTTGCAAGCATTGATCACTGCTTGCAATTTTTTGCGCATATACTTTTGTCAAATAAACCCCATCAGTTACGAATCTTTCCGTGTGTGCATCTACTTACGAACAATTGATACGTGGTTCATGCATACGAACCTTTTATGCATTAACTCTGTGCGTGAAGTTTTTATGCTCCAACTCTGTGTCTCGAGGAACTTTTTGTAACTACGAATGTTTCACACGGGTCCTTCATACCATACCGACATTTGCTTACGACCTTTGCGCACGTCCTCTTGCCATTCGAACGTTATACCTTAAGTTTGTTGGGGAGGCAAACAAACGAACAAACACACATTTGTTACGAACAACTGTGCACCGGTATTACGCATGCGTCCTTTTCCGATACAAACTGTCCCAAAACCAGCACAAACGAGCTAGCGCCAAAGGCAACAGCAGTGCGATCCCTCTCCGGCCCTCTGAGCCGCTGTGACGTATGCGCACATCTGCGTTTGAGCGCCCTCTGGTGGCCGCTGCGTCACAGCCGAAGAGGCGCTCCACGCACCACCACTGACCTGTGACGACGCACTCGGTGACGGTCACGCCGCGCGGGTCCACGGTAAAGATGGCCGGCCGCGACAGCGGCGACATCTTCAGCGACTGGCCCGAAACGACCACCTGCGAGGAGTCCGTGATCTTGCAGGTGAAGGGCGAGCCTGGAAAGGGACAGGAGCGTTAATCATACTGTGGACTCTTACGGTGACGACGCATTCTGGAACATTTCAAAGTCATATTTGCGCACTATATTGTCGTGGCGGTAGCCGGCATCTCAGCCACTGATAGGTGCATCCCAGCATATGACCACTGACCGCTGGTGGCTCAAATACTGCAACATGCTGAATGTGCATACACACAGGAGGTCCTAGGCGGTTCGACACTCATCAGCGAACACGGAAGGCCGCTTGCGTTTCAGAGTCGGACAACGGCGGTTCTCACACACGGCGGGCGTGTATGGACCCGCAGGGCCGGCCACAGCCGTCGAGAAGGCCGTGAGGCCCTGCAGGGGGCGGCCACAGCCGTGCGAGCAGGCTGTGAGGCCTGCAGGAGCAGCAACACGTCCCAGCAGGCTGTGAGGCCTGCAGCGCCGCCACAGCCGCCCGAGCAGCTGTGAGGCCCTGCAGGACAGCCACCAGCCGTCCCAGCAGGCTGTGAGGCCCTGCAGGGCCGGCCACAGCCCGTGCCTCTTCGCTGGAGACCGGCAGTCGTGAAGGCCTGCAGGGCAGCCACAGCCGTCCGAGCAGCTGTGAGGTCCTGCAGGGCCGGCCCGTCCGAGCAGGCTGTGAGGCCCTGCAGGAGCAGCCACAGCCGCCCGAGCAGGCTGTCTGGCCCTGCAGGGCCGGCCACAGCCGTACGGCAGGCTGTCGGCCCTGCAGGCCGGCCACAGCCGTACGGGCAGGCCGTCTGGTCCTGCAGGACCGGCCACAGCCGTGCGACGCCGTCGGTGGCGCGACACTCACCGGGCACCGGCTCGCCGTTGAAGCGCACGCTCAGGATGTGGTTGGCCGACTCCTGGGGCTTGAAGTTGACCCGGAAGCGCGCGTTGCCCTCCGACTGGACGTAGTTGGGCACGTTGCGGCCGTGCACGGACACGATGATCTCCAGGTTGCCGGCGCCCGCTTGGCTGGCGTCGACTGTGACGCGGCACGGCGACGGGGTCAGCTCACAGCGACAGCTAAGTCGGCTGACGTTGGTCACGGGTCAGGTCAGGGAGGCACGGGGCGACTGGGGCAGCAGCCCAGGTCACAGCACCAATAAGTCTGGTCAGTCAGGCGCCAGGTCATGGTCGCACTGTGTTAGACCTCACGTCAGGTCACAGGCGGCGCATCAGGATGGAGGTCATCGATTCAGGTCACCGTGTCACCGAGTTTGGTCACAACCATAACAGTGATACAGCGCTTGTGGAGGTTTGGGCTGAGTCTTTCTGTGACTGGTCGTGCGTCGTCGCCGTGCCAGGCCGCGGCACTGCCCGAGGCGGGTGCCAGACCCGTCAGCTCCGGTCACGGGAGAGGGCCATTTCGGGCGATAGTCCCGGACCAGCGGGTAGACCCGTCCACGGAGGGCAGCGGCTCGACAGTGCTACACTGATGGACTCTGCCCGCCCTAGGGGAACCCAGAAGCAGATTGGGAATGGGTTGGCCTCGATGTTAAGCCTGTGAACTATCATCGAGCCGAGTAGGGAAGGTCTAAGAAAACAAAGTGCTATTATAAAAATGGCCGCACCACGCTGTTACGCCGCAGCGTGAGGGCTTTGGAATGTGGAACCGCATAACGCTTCCGCACTGCGTTAGCGACAAGGACATGCTGAGTCAGCGACTTCTCGTGCTCTATTCGTTCACGTTCTCGCGCCATGTGAGCGAAAGGGAGTTATTTATGATGCCTTTTGCTGGCTCATGGCGTAAGTTCCGTCACGATTTATCACGGACGGTCTCACCGGCTGGTACTAAAGCATGCTCTGAGCCTTTGCCACCATGAAGAACGAAGAGAAAGGTTCACTCGCCTCGTGGGCTAGATTATTACATGATCGCGTAAAATCATTAAATCGCAGACGTTTTCCGTACCAATTCGTAAAACATCCCGCTTCGGGTTATTAACCGATTCCTATCAGGCGCCATCTGTAGGCGAGGAGGTAATTCGCAAAAAAGACTGGGACGCATTTTGTCTTAAATGAGTATTGCAACGCTAGGTCCTTGCATTTTAAACAACACACAAGACCGTTGCGAAGAAGGCAAACCAAATGGAGTTCAGAATGCGCAGCACACAAGTGTTGAATGAAATAACGTTCGAAACAAAGATTCCCCCATGAGTCAAAGATGCACTATCTTGCTTTTGTCCCAGGGGACCGATAGCTATGAACGTTTATCTTGTCCGATTACAACTCATTAATTATCTACGCCGCAGTCGTTAATCTGCCATTAACGGTAGAACGACCATTTTAGCGTCATTCAAGCGTGCAGCCAACTCTGAGCGGTGAAGATGTACCACGTCAACGAAAATGAATGCTTGAGATTCGCCAGCATTCTCGATCCCTAATGTTGTAACAGAGAGCGGAAGACATAAACAGCAATTACTGCATATCTACTCAAACATTTGCCACACCGGCCGGTGCTATCCTCACATGCAAGCGTTTACCAAGGTGCTTCGGTTCGAGTGACCATACAGTCCAAGCAGCCGAAATAATAACAGGATGAGCATTTCGGGCAGACTGAACTTGAACTCGTTCAAACCCTGGTCAACAGCAGCGCAGGGAATGCACTATCCAATTTATATCAAGTGATGAGAAGAAGGGACACCCCCTGGCCAGGTCCTACTGCGACTTCCACACACGACAGCGGTGTTCTGATTGACCTCTGGACCCACGAGCCACCCAGCGTCCCGGAGCACTCTGGTGGGGTCCGAACACTCCGGGAAGGCCACCGCACGACCAGCCGGAACTCGGGGGAGGGGAGAGTTAGGGGAGGGGGAGGGCTCGGAGCACGGCCGGGCACTCACTGCAGAAGTAGACGGGCTTGCCGACCACGCCGTTCTGCACGTCCGTCACCTTGACCTTGTTCACGTCGTACGCCTTGACCACAAACGGCGCGCCGGGGATCAGCATACCCCCAAGGCGAACCTCGACGCTGTGATCACCTGCGAAGACGCCGCCACTTTAAGGACAAGCACGGCGTACGGTGTACTCAAACAACATCTTCCTCGCATGCCAAAATGGTTGGAGATTAAAAATGACGGCACTGAATACAGGTGTCATGGACACTCTTTGAAAGAATTATTCGTAAATCTAACATTGCAAATGCAGGTTGCAGCAGCTGCGCATATGTCCTGCACGTCTATTTTGCACGCTGTAACGCTTTCCCTGTAAGGCAGGGTGGTAGGTCTAGAGGTGACGTACCGACTTCGGTGGGCGTGTACTCCACCATGGCACGGTGTTCGTCCACGCTCCACACTTCGGCCGTGACAGGGCGCCGCAGTGGTGACAGGATGGTGACCGCCAGGTCGGCCAGCTCCTGACGGGAGGAGAACATACAGGTCAGCTGAGACATCACACACAGATCAGCGGGACGGGACAGTGACCATGAGGTCGGCCAGCTCCTGACGGAAGGAGGACATACAGGTCAGCCGAGATATTACACACGGATCAGAAGGACAGGATGGTGACCACGAGGTCGGTCAGCTCCTGAAGAGTAGAGGACATACAGGTCAGCTGAGACATCACACACAGATCAGCGGGACGGGAGAGTGACCGTGAGGTCGGCCAGCTCCTGACGGAAGGAGGACATATAGGTCAGCCGAGATATCACACACAAATCAGTGGGACAGGATGGTGACCACGAGGTTGGCCAGCTCCTGAAGGGTGGAGGACATACAGGTCAGCTGAGATATCGCCCACGGATCAGCGGGACAGGACAGCGACCGCGAGGTCGGCCAGCCCCTGACGGGAGGAGGACATACAGGTCAGCTGAGACATCACACACGGATCAGCGGGACAGGATGGTGAACACGAGGTCGTCCAGCTCTCACCAGCTCAGCACGAACAGCTCAGCGGAGAGGGGATGCCGACCTAGACCTGGCAACTGAGGCCCGTTGACAGCGGGTCAGCGGTGGCGGATGCTTAAAAATGCGTCGTGAAATGTAAAGGAAACGTTATTAACCATATTGGCGGGTCCGAGTCTAGCTTCAAAGCTCATGGCCTAACGCCACCACGCAAAACTAGCTTTGAATTTCGCAGTGCGATCTGTTCAAGGCTGCGAAATCACGTCCCTATGTTTTACTGAGCAAAAACTATGGCGAGCGGCTCCGCGCCGCGGCTGTACTGACGTGCGTGCCCTGGGTGTCGATGTTGAAGCAGGTCTGGCGTCCGACGGGCACCTTGCCGACGCCGGCGCCGGACACGGCCACCTGGGACGCGTCCATCACGGCACAGTTGAACGGCGAGCCTGCCGGACGGCGCCAGCCGCGGTCAGCGGTCCACCGTGACACGGAAGCGTCACGCACGGCCCAGTGGCGAACAACGGTCACCGGTCCGGTGTTACAGGTGACATGTCTGCAACACGCTTGCGTACAGATCGGTCGCGGCGCAATGGGAAGCCTGCAGGACGGGGAAAGGCGGGATAAAGAAGGGTAGGGTGGACGAGAACGGAAGAAGGGGATGGGGGAGAGGGGACGTAGAAGAAATTTAAGCGGTGGTGCTGTCACATGGCGCTGCACATCTCGGCTCCAACGCTCCCTCCATTCGAACACTGAACCATTGCGGCGGACGGCTCTCGCGACCTGCGTCGCCCAGCCTTTCAGCGGCCAGTGTACCAGATGCAAGCCAGCATTGGCGCCCACCAGGGCCTCATCGGACGTGGGCCACTCACCTGGCACGTTCTCGCCGTTAAACTTCAGCTCCACTTGGTGCAGCTTGGCCTCCTTGGGCGTGAACGAGATGGCGTACTTGTGCTGGCCCTGCGACTGGGCCGACGTCGGCACCTGGCCGTTGTTGACCGTCACCTCCAGGTTACCCGGCCCGGCGTTCATCGTCTCCACTGTGGAGGCGGCGTCACAGACCCTCACCCACCGTTACACAGCCTGTCACACAGCTCGTCACAAGCCCGCTGCGCGACCGCCACGACACCCATCAGACGGCCCGTAACACGGCCGTCATAACGCCTGTCGTACGACGCGTCACACAACCCGTCACACAGCTGTCGCGAGGATCCGTCAAGTGCGGCACCCGCCCGTACGGTGAGATGTCGAGGCCCGACATCACGCTCCAGCGCACCGTCCGGCTGCTGATACTCCACGCCTCCAACTGCTAAGGTCATGGGTGCCGCAAAGTACCGCATAACTTCATGGGGAGTTCACGAAGGCGTGGATGGAGAACGATATTTGACATAGTTTGATGTTAAAGCTCCGTTAAGTCTAGGACGGTTAACTTGCGCGGACTTTGAAGCGACAACATTTCAAATCGGTATCCGCGCGTCGCAAGTGGCCATCGTGCTTAAAAGGGCACCATGTCGACTGAAACCATTCCATCAAGAATTAAGCCCGAGCCACAACTCCGCCCACTCACCGATGAAGGTGACGGGTCGGCCGACCACGCCCTTGGTGACCTCCTTGACCTTGATGGCGCTGACGTCATACACCTTGCAGGCGAACGGGCTGCCGGGAATGGGCGAGCCGACCGAACGCCACGTGGATGCGGTGCTCGCCGGCCAGCCGCGGACTGAATCCACAGTCAGGCCGCCGTCTCCGTCATCCTTGACTTGGGTCGGCACGGCCAGCCCGGTGGGGCCTGGCACATTGCGTGCGGTCAGGTCGGGTCAGGTCGAGGTCGTTACGGAGCCCCGGGCGGCGGAGGCCGGGTTAGTGCTCCCCGCGCCTCAGTCGGTTAGCGGGCGGTGGGGTCGGGGCGCCGGCCCCACCGCCCGGTCCCGTCCGTCCCGTTCCGTCGGCACTGTTCGGTTACGGGCCGCATGGCCAGAGGCTACCAGCCTAACCTTACGTCTAAGTTGTTATGTGGTCGTGCAAGGTAACATCGATCCTTCGGTACGTTATACCCATTAATCACAAAATTTATCAGCTCGGTGCCCCCAGGCGAAATTAATGTTCCGTTCTTCGCGACCACAGCGCACGCAGTCAAACGTAATTACGGCAATGAAACAAAAGCGGGCAAACGGAAGGCCCCTGACCTTCGACCTCTCATGCACACGCGGGTCAGAGGTCGTCGGAAAGTGAGCGGCAAAATGAAAGCAAGTGAAACGAGGTTTCGTGGGCCCATGAAACAAGCCGGAAGCAGCTGGCTAGCGATGGCAGCCGAAAGAAAAGTCATTGTATCTCATCAGGAATTTGTCGATGTAAAGAAAGGCCCAGTGAGGAAGCACACACCACTTTAAGCCATGTATGTCTTATAAATGAACATATGATAAAAAACATTGTCAGTCTCCAATCGTCCATGCACTAAACTACATTCACATGCATCCAGTAAGCGTTAGTAAGCGAGTGTTAGTGAACTTTAGGGGAACTATAACGACCTGGAAGAAGAAGGAAATGCTTCTATTAGAACCAGGTCTGCAAATCTTTCAAAGTCTAAGCCGCCATAATAGCGGGAAATAATGTACAGGCTCGAAGGACAAAAACGTACAAGCTTCAGTGCGGTCGCATTGGTGGCAGGCGATTGTTTTGTTTTGAATCGTGCGCCGCAAGACATTTCCGTGCGGCGGTGCCTGGCGTGAACACAACGAAAACCGCAGAACATCCGGTGAAGCAGACCTCCACAGGAAAGTTAACCATAGGACAGGTGAGGTGGAAGTTAACGACAAAAGTAACGGTGAGACATCGAAGACAAAGATTGCGAGTGCACGCTCCGAACCGCCCGGCAGTGCCACGTCCAGACAGCCATCCCGGACAACTCGGGCCGGCCGGCCTCTCATGGAGGTCTCTTCGCCGCGAAATCCACGCAAAAACGAGGTCTCACCGACTAGCGAAAGTGGCAGCAAGAGCCTCGCCGGGTGGCGCTGCACCCGCAACTGACCGCAGCTGACACAAGTCGGCGACCGGCACGCGGCGTGAGCGGCCGCAAACTCACCATCGACGTTGACCTCGACCTCTTCGACGTTTCCAGAGACATTGCTCAGCGTGAAATACGACGACTTGCCCCACGGCAAGTCGAGGCGAGAGACGCGCCTTTCACCACGATGTGGTTCGGATCGGACTGTACGTGCGCCATGAACGGCGGAGCCTGTGGACAAGGCGAGCAGTCAGTGGCGGCCACCTCTCATCACTAGACGGGGAGGTCACCAGCAGCACTGTGACACGGCCACCTCTCATCACTGGACGGGGAGGGTCACTAACAGCACTGCGACCACGGCCACCTCTCATCACTGGACGGGGAGGGTCATTAACAGCACTGCGATACGGCCACCTCTCATCACTGGACGGGGAGGGTCACCAGCAGCACTGCGACCACGACCACCTCTCATCACTGGACGGGGAGGGTCACTACAGCACTGCGACACGGCCACCTCTCATCACTGGACGGAAGAGAGCCACTATCAGCGTCCTGACACGGCCATCTCTCATTGGATATGGATGGGCCCACCAGCAGCACTGCGATACGGCCACCTCTCATCACTGGACGGGGAGGGTCATTAACAGCACTGCGACACTGTCGCCTCTCATCTCTGGACGGGGAGGGTCACCAACAGCACTGCGACACAGCCACCTCTCATCACTGGACGGAGAGGGTTACCAACAGCACCGCGACACGGGCCGCCTCTCATCACTGGACGGGGAGGGTCAGCAGCAGCACTGCGACACGACCACCTCTCATCACTGGACGGGGAGGGTCACTAACAGCACTGCGACACGGCCACCTCTCATCACTGGACGGAGAGAGCCACTATCAGCGTCTTGACACGGCCATCCCTCATTGGATATGGAGGGCCACCAGCAGCACTGCGATACGGCCACCTCTCATCACTGGACGGGGAGGGTCACCAGCAGCACTGCGACACTGTCGCCTCTCATCTCTGGACGGGGAGGGTCACCAACAGCACTGCGACACAGCCACCTCTCATCACTGGACGGAGAGGGTTGCCAACAGCACCGCGACACGGCCGCCTCTCATCAACTGGACGGGGAGGGTCAGCAGCAGCAGTGCGACACGGCCGCCTCTCCATCACTGGACGGAGAGGGTCACAACAGCACTGCGACACGGCCACCTCTCATCACTGGACGGGGAGGGTCAGCAGCAGCAGTGCGACACGGCCACCTCTCATCATTGGACGGAGAGGGTCATCAACAGCACTGCGACACGGCCGCCTCTCATTCACTGGACGGGGGAGGGTCAGCAGCAGCAGTGCGACACGGGGGCCACTATCAGCGTCCTGACACGGCCATCTCTCATTGGACATGGAGGGCCACCAGCAGCACCGGCGCACCGCTGCCGAATTCGGAGCTTCAGTGCATCTGTATATTTTCTACAGACTTAAATGGTTAACGCAAGCAATTTTTTAGCGGCCCTGGCACTGCCTGTGGTGACTGTCTAACGCTAGCACTAACTGGCAGTGTGGTGACCAACAGTTAGCATCCCAAACATCGCAACCCTCAGAGAAGACGTCCTCGCATGACTTTTCACACGATCTTACACCTCTCACAACACTCACGCGGAGCCATTCCCCCTATTTACTCCCAGCGTGACACAAAGCCCGCATGGCAATGCCGCTTTTGCAGACACAGTCCCCCTCGCACTCCACGCCGCGCCACGTACCGGGGATGGGCTCCTTGTTGAAGGAGATGTTGATGGTGTGGTCGACCGGCTCCAGGGGCACGAAGCTGACCCCGAAGCGGGCCGAGCCCTGCGGGTGCACCTGGGTGGGGATGTTTGCGTCCCCCGGCGCTGATCGATATCTCCAGGTTGCCCTCCCCGGCCTCGCTGGCGTCCACTGCGGGTGGAGGGGCGCCAGAGGTCAGAGCACAGACAAACTGCGTGCCGCAGCTGAAGACGACAGTCCGAGTGGCAGAGAAGCGTGCGCGGTCAGGCATGACACTGCAAAGTAACCTTGACTTGTGGAACAAATCGGCCCACTCCGTTGATTGGCAAAGTTCCGACATGTACTGGCCGCATTAGGGCGGCCGGCCCGTCATTATTTGCTCGTCGGCCATCAGCATTACGAATGACCGGCCGTGAGAACTGTCTCCGGCCCACGGTGGCGCGCTTTCCCGCGCGGAGTGGCGCGGGCGGCGGCACCGGACCGCAGATGGCGCGCCATGCCAGCTGTTTTTGCCTGCAGACGGCCGGCCCGTGAGTCCGCCGGAAGGATAACGGGCGCCGGCCGGATGCGGCGGCCCGTGACGGCACGGAAGCGGCGGGCTGGCGCGCCGGCGCGGGGCTCGCTGGCGCAGGGGTACCGGCAAGGCACCCGGATGGTGCAGGAGTACCGGCAGGGGACACGGTTGGTTGCAGGAGTACCGGCAAGGGACACGGCTGAAGCAAGAATATCAGCTAGGGGTCCGGCTGGTGCTGGTATACTGCAGAGGGCTCCGGCTAAAGCAGAGGTACCGGTGAGGGGCCCGGCTGGCGCAGGGGTACTGGCAAGGGGTCCGGCTGGAGCAGGGGTTCGTTCCGGGAAGGGGCCCGGAAGGAGCAGGGGTACTAACGAGGGGTCCGGCTGGAGGAGGGGCACTGGCGTGGGCTCCGGCTGAAGCAGGGGTACCGGCAAGGCACCCGGCTGGTGCAGAAGTACCGGCAGGGGACCCGGCTGGAGCAAGAGTACCAGCCAGGGGTCCGGCTGGTGCAGGGGTACTGCCAAGGGGTCCAGGTGGAGCAGGGGCTCGTTCCGGTGAGGGACCCGGAAGGAGCAGGGGGTACTGGCGAAGGCTCCGGCTGAAGCAGGGGTACCGGTGAGGGACCCGGCTGGTGTAGGAGTACCTGCGAGGGGTCCGGCTGGGTCTGAGGTATCGGCGATGTGTCCGCTGGCGCAGGGTTGCCGGAGGGGTCTCGGCTGGATTGGAGGCACAGGCGTGACGGGCCGGTTGACGGGGGTTCCCACACAGGGAGACTGACTGACGCAGGGACGTGGACACGGATACACTGGTTTGCAGACGCCGGTATTCAGAGTGATATATGTATGATGATGCATGTATGTATGTACGTATGATGTATGTATGATGATGTATATGATGTATGATGACGTATGGCGACTGCGAGCTTCCGCAGGGGCCTTGGTGCGGTGACGACCGATTATCTTTGTTCGAGCGCGGCTGTTGGTAGCAGCGGGAAGTCGCCGTGCGGAGGCGACGGGCGGCAGTGCGTGATCAGGGTTCGTGTACAACTGTCAACAACTCGGCGACCACTCCCAAAGCCAGCGGCAGCAGCCACCAGTGAACAGCCGAGTCACGGCACGTGCGATCCGTCACGGAGCAGAGCCCCTAGCCAGCCTGGGCTTCCCCGGGCCGATCTCCGCACGCTGTGAAGACCCGCCGCCGCGGGCTGTGACGGCCCGCGGCGCGGCGCCGGCTCGTGGGGAGCTCGGACGTCCGATGCGGTTCCGATAGGACCGCCCCGGCGGCCGAGGTCAAACCGCTACGGTGAGTGGCCCTTTGTGTGGCCCGCCCACGCACCGCCGTCCGGAGAGGCGAGGAAAGCCTCTCAAGGACAACGGAGCCTTTCCACTGCAGCGGGCTGTTCGTTCCTTCGGAAGGTAACGGACCACTGCCAAACAGGATGTTTGTGCAGTGTATAGCATGCGAGAGGTCAATTTTACCGCGTGAGTCATCAGCACCGAGACCCCGACTAGCTCCTGACCTATTTGACCGACAACAAGCGCTAAAACCCAACACCGGCGGAGCCCCCGACACCACTATTGACGTGAGTAATAGTCCGGAAATGCCCGCAGTGTGTGCCGATGCGCATTTTTCGTGAGCCAACTGCGCCACTATGCACAGGAACGTGCATTCACCCGATCGCAACGGGCGGGCAATGCCCCGCTGAACACGATCGGAAAGCCTGCAGCCCACATAAGCCGATCGAAAAAACAGCCGGCCTCTGCACCAAACATTGCTCGTGTTTTCCTCATTCCAGCGGAGGGACACGAAACCGAACAAACAGAGTGCCGCGCCCGTGCCTGCGCCGTCCCAGCGCCCCCCACTCCGGTGAAGTGACCACCTGGCCCCAGCACGCTTCCCTGCGCCCGGGGGCGCGCGCGGGCCACCACCCCTGCCCGCTGCCGGCTGCGGCGGCACCCACCTGTGAACTGCAGGCTCTTGCCGATGGCGCCCTTCGGCATGCTGGTGACGGTGACACGGCCCGTGTCGTACACCTTGCAGGTGAAGGGCGTGCCGCTGACGGGCGCGCCGTTGTACTCGACCAGCACCGTGTGCGCGCCCACCTCCAGCGGCGTGAACTCGGCCGTGAAGCCGCTGCGCACGTTGCCGGTGACCTTGACCGGCAGGGTCGAGTGGGCCGGGCCGCGCACCGACACGGCCAGCTCGGCGTTGCCTCCGCCGTCGATGTGGATGAGGAAGCTGGCCGGCTGCTGCACGGGCAGCAGCTCCAGGTGCCGCAGGTTGACCGTCACGCGCGAGCTGCCCTGCACGCGGCACACGAACGGGCAGCCGGGCACCGGCTCGCCGTTGAACTTGATGTCGATCGTGTGCGTCTTGGGCATCTCGGGGCGTGAAGGTGACCAGGCAGCGGCCGCCGCCCAGCACCTGCACGTGGTTCGGCACCTCGCCGTCGTTGATGGAGATCTCCAGCTGGCCCTCGCCGGCTTGGCTGGCGTCCACTGGCGGGCACGGACGGGTGACGTCACATTCGTGCATCACCAGCAGATGGCGTCACCCACCCGGACACAGGCAAGTGACGTCACCCATACACTCCAGCTGGTAAACGATGAATAGCGAAATGAAAGGCCACGACAGCTGGCCAGCATCTCCAACGGTGAGAGGTCATACCCTGACCGGTTGGCCTCCGTTGGAAGCGGAACACAGACACCATCACGAACAAAACGTTGTTGAAAAGCGATGGATAGTTAAGCGATCATCCGTGGGTCAAATCAAGATGACCCATTTCGCACTGCGCGGATAAACAAGCTTCAGGAACCGTTGTTCACCACACTTCTGTTGACCACGCTGCGCAGCATATTCCGCGTGCCGCCCGCTGTACCCGAAAGTCAGCCGGCTCTGTGGCGGGCGTAGCGCTTCCGCGTGCCGGCGGCCCCGTTGGCAGCCTCCTCAGGCCCGCCCGCCTGCGAGGGCCGGCGGCGGCGGCGGCAGGGGCACTCTGCCCAGCGCGAGGCTCACCTCTGAACTGGCAGGTCTGGCCCACCACTCCCGTGGGAACGTCCGACACGCGGATCAGGCCGGCGTTGTATGCTTTAGATACGAACGGGCTGCCCGGAATCTGCGGAGGCACGGCAGGGGCGCGGCTCAGGGCGGGCCACGGGTCACGACAGGGGGCGGGTCACGGGTCACGACAGGGGCGGGGCTCAGGGCGGGTCACGGGTCGCGACAGGGGGCGGGGCACAGGGCGGGTCACGGCGGGGCACCACGTGCCACATGCGCACGCTTGCGAACCGCGTCATACACGCGGATCAGAACAAATAAACTGGCGGTGCCGTGGACGAAGCCGGCTCCGGGTAATCCCTGAGATGCATGGGGGGATTGCAGCCCACTCAGCGGTGACTCAATCATTCAAGTCGAGATGATTCCATTCTTAAGGCCTTATAACGCGAGCGCAAACCGTGCTATTTCAAAACACATGAGCATGAGGCCCACACGGAGCAATAATACAACCATGGCGTCCAGTATGTCGCCATCTGCAGCAAAGAACTGGGTGTACACACTCACTCACACCCAGCATGTGAGCACCACACGCACGCCATCGGACCGCGGCGTGAATGTGTCAGCATCACGCGAATACCGAACGGCAGCGATAAGCAATTTCACGGCGACCAGCCCAGCCACTAATTCAGACCTAGCCATCGAGTGGCCGACAACCATGAGAACACACGTCACCTAGAATAGACGCGCTCGCGCCTGCGGCCAGGAGGAGCCGCAGAGCCGACCGCGCCGTCCACGCGACCACACTCACCGGCTGTCCGTCGACATTGACGTTGATCACGTGACTCCCCACCTCGGAGGCGGAGAATTGACACTTGAAGATCCCACTGGACGTCTCTGTCAGTGTGAACGGTACCGTCCGTTTGGACGGGCCTGCCGGCGGAGGCGGCGGCCGGTCAGCGTCGCGGCGAGGGCGCGGTGACAGGCCCCACCCGCTTCTGACCGCGGCCCCCTGTTCAACATACGCGCACGCTGCACCAGTGTCTGGAGCCCGTCGGAGTCGGGAGGATCGCAGTGGTCCTCGTGACGTGGATTATGTAACAGCGGCGCCACGGCACGCCTGCTGGCCGCCGCGCACGACGCGCGCCTCAGCCGACCCGTGGCGTCAGCGGTCGGACGTTTTCCTGCTTGAGCAACTAGTGAAGCAGTGGTGGGTCCCGCTTACTTCAGTTCGAAAGCAAAATTTGCGTGTGTGTGTGTGTGTGTGTGTGTGTGTGTGTGTGTGTGTGTGTGTGTGTGTGTGTGTGTGTGTGTGTGTGTGTGTGTGTGTGTGTGTGTGTGTGTGTGTGTGTGTGTGTGTGTGTGTGTGTGTGTGTGTGTGTGTGTGTGTGTGTGTGTGTGTGTGTGTGTGGTGTGTGTGTGTGTGTGTGTGTGGGTGTGTGTGTGTGTGTGTGTGTGTGTGTGTGTGTGTGTGGTGTGTGTGTGTGTGTGGTGTGTGTGTGTGTGTGTGCGTATGAACTTTCCAAAATGACACTTGTTTTTCGAGACGTATCAGCACTAGGCACTAGGGGATGGAAATGGTTAAACCAGTTTCATCATCCATAATAAAGGCGGTTATTTGATTGATGTAACTCACATGATGAATTTGTGATTCTTAAGATTTGTGTCATGCACTGACGTTCTCGTTTAAAACGATGATATCAGTACGTGAGTTCATGTCATGATTCGTAAAAAGCTTGATGTTGTCACTGCAGCGAGCAATTCCCTGCCGACCATCAGCGCGGCCCGCATGGCTCTGTCCCTCGTCGGTCGTCATAAACGCGCAGTGTCTCGCGTTCTTAGGCTTACGACTCCATGTCTGTTGCCTTCCCGGCCACTGGACCGCATCCACCCTCTGAGTCTAACAAAAAAAAACCAGACCATGCTGCTCCCCCCCCCCCCCCAAGAAGGGGTTCGCGCATCGCGGACGAATTGACAGTGCACCACTGGCTGGCCGCCTGCCAGCGGCGTCGGCGGGGGCGGAGCCTGCCAGGTTCCCGGATGTTGGTCTGGCCCTGCTCCGTCGTTCACCGGAAGAAAAAGGCGCCGCGCCCCGCCCCGGCGGCCGGCTGACCTTCCCGGCCCGAGGCCGCGCGGGGCCGCCGCGCACGTGATCCCGTGCCGTGACCAGACACGTGCCAGTACGTGGCGCGGGGCGCTGCGGCGTCACGCGCCGAAGCACGGGCGAAAGCGACGCGGCGTTGTCGGGATGGCGAGATCCGGTGCGGTGGCTCCGCGAGAATGGGATGGGGGGGGGGGGGGCTCGGTGCTATGTTGCGTTATGCAACCACGTGATGCAACGGAGTGACCATTCCACGGTCTGTAGCGCACAAACCGCCAACTGTCTGCATTGCTCAGATAATCGCCAATGTGTCACACTTTGCACAACTCGTCACCGGTTATCTTACTTGAAAATCTCAGAGCTTTCACCCCAGCTCACAAACCATGACGGAAGATTTGCGCGTAGCCGCATGGCAAAATTTAAACTATGCATGACAGCTGCACATATCGCCATTCTTATCAGTCGTTTGTTTCTATTTTTGGCTGTGATCCTGAACCGCAGGGGAGACTGGGACGAAGTGTCACCCCTGCTGTACCTAGTCATTGGGCTGCAACGAATTCTCATGGACAACGTTGAAACTGTCATAGCGTTAACGGTATTCGTCGCATATGTTTTCGGTCTCACACATGCCGTTTAAAGACGTAATTGTTGCTACTGTGTCTATTCCGCTGATGGGTTCCCATCCCTGCGACAGCGAGGGCACATTAGTAACGTTCCGTCAGACAAATTAGAAGCACTTGCCGCGGATGGTTAGCTTTGAGCTGAAAACGACACCACGGCGTGCACTTAATAGGGAATATAGTATCCAGTGGCGTAGTCAGGATTTTCGCCCGGGGGGGGGGGGGGAATTGTAGCCATAGGGAGTCCTTTCTGCCAAGGAGTCCACTGTGCCCACAATAGGCGGCCCATTTTTAGGCTGGGGACGATTTTGGGCTCAGGATCTCATTTTGACGCCTCAAGGGCCCGAATTGCCCTCTGTCACGATAACCTCCCCGCCCGTCGGCGAGGCTCCCTGCCCTCTGTTACGTGACCTTCCCGCCCGTCGGCGAGGCTCCCTGCCCTCTGTTACAGTGACCTTCCCCGCCCGTCGGCGAGGCTCCTTGCCCTGTTCTCTACAACGAGGATTGGTGATCGCTGACCAGCCCCACCCGGCAAGGCTTCCTCCCCGCCCCGCCATGCGGTGAAGACCAGTGGTCAGTCCCACGTGAAGACGGAGCCCTCCTACCCTCTGCCCCGCTACCCGGCACGTGCAGACACTGACCGACAACGTCGACAGAGAGGTCCGCCTTGCTCCTGCCCGGCGCCGAGATGTCAATGGAGGCTGGCTTGGACGCCGGAAAGTGTTTGAGGTGCTCGCCCAGCACCTGCAGACCGCCGGCAGCGTCCATGGCGGCCACCTCCACCTCCCAAGGCGAGCCTGCGGGGCGGACGAACCTCCGTCAGCGGACGCGTCACCTCGGCGTCACAGACGGCGGCGGTGCGCGGCCTCACGGTCGGTCCGCGGCGAGTGGGCCAGCGGCACACAGACACCGGACACGGGTGGATACAAGGCGGCAGCCGCGGGCGACGTCACGCAACATACCTGCAGCCATCATCGCTCGTTTATCAGCCATAGACACTGCGGGATACAGGACATCCTGCTCTGCATTATAATCACACATACACTCGAGGTTCGTGGGATCAAACAGCTTGCATCTGAAAACCCTCATAGATAAATTCCATATCACGAATCCTTTAAAATATGTCGATAAGCAGGCCATTCTTTGCTCATTGCTATCAAAATCCGGCGGAAAGTTCCCTTCTATACCTCTCATTAAGTCCTTGACAACGTCGCGATGTTTTTTACCAAACCGCGTCTGCTACATGGTGGCTGTATTTAAACGCATGAAGCAAAATTCCATTCTAAATGTGATCCATCATAATACAGCCTGATTAGGCATATCAATTCACCGCCGGCGCAGCCCCACTGGCGTGATCTTTATGCGGAAACTGCTTGTCACGCCAGTGTGACTAACGCCCAGACACCACTTAGTTTGATACAGGAATGCATAAGAGAAGATAGGAAGACATAAGACAAGTGGCAAGATAACTTGCGGGCGAATGGACACTTCCAAAAATTACTACACAAACCTCTCTCAAGACAATCTTTCATACACCATCGTATTTCTAATGATGGAATTACGTGGAAAGCGAGAGGGTATGGTCCTGGCACCCCATCACTGCCCTCAGTCTGCGAGCTAGCCAGGACGTGCACAAGGCTGAGCCCAGCGGAGCGGCGGGTCGGTCCGGCCGGGTGCGCCGGCGCCCGGGCTGGACCAGCTGGGCGGCGGGTCGGTCCGGCCGGGTGCGCCGGCCCTCGTGCCGGACCAGCTGGGCGACGGGTCGGTCCGGCCGGGTGCGCCGGCGCTCGGGCCGGACCAGCTGGGCGGCGGGTCGGTCCGGCCGGGTTACGCCGGCGCCCGGGCCGGACCACGGCCGCTGGACCGTGGGATCGGCGCCCGCCGCCGGCCTGGGAACGGCGCTGCCCGCGTGACGCCGGCGGCGCCGTCGAGGCAGCGCCGCTGGCCGCCGGCTGTCGGCCGCACCGGTCCCGCACGCGGCTGGGACCCGCGCCGGACCCGCACCCAAAACCTCACAACCAGCCGAGCTTTGCCGAAAAGTGGGAACGTAAATGGGGATTGAGAACTCGGTATTTCCATGCAACACCACGGCTTAGCGTCACGTTTTCAGATGCTGGGCTGCAGCTGCAGCGCTTAAAAGAGCAAAGTTCCGCATGTGAGCCTGGCTACCGCCCAAGGGTTTGAGCCAGTGTGATAGCCTCACATTGAGTCTGGGCGGCCGGCTGGATAACGTTTGATTCGGACTGGCGTGTCTAGTCATGCCGAAGAAGAGTATTCAGTACACGTGTAGGCCCGCCGAAGGCGAGGATCCAGGCTAGCACGTCTGATCCTAGCGGTGTTCTGCTCATGACCGGAATGACGGAGCGGAAGGAGGCTGGTCCATCGGTCCGTTAGCATGAGGCAATCGTCGCTCCCTGGAAACCACTAGGTTTCTGGCATTCATTTCACTTCTAATAATCGACTAAATACCGAATCATACCGCCGGTGATAGGGAAATGTCATCACGTCATTCCTCAGTGACTTTACGTATTTCTCGCAGCTATGTACACATCGACAGGAAAGACAAGCGGCAAGTCACCGCTTATTTTACCACTGCTTTACTTGCCGGACACTTCTTGTTTGAACTCTTATTTCAAGGGCATTATTTGGTGTCGCGTTAACTGTTAAAGATACCGTTCTTTTCACATAACTTAGTTAAGTCCAGAAACACGCAGGCCAGGGTGGAAAACGTCCAACGGCAGCAACACTTTTCTGAAAATGGTTTCACGCATACAAAATGGCGCCTCAAGACGTGCGCTATCGTCCGGTATGTTCTGTAGAATAAACTGACGCCACGATGTTCATCTTAAGCCCGCAAACACAAATTAAACCCCCTTAGAACATCTAGCGATAAAAAATATTTTTCTTTTGAAGTATTCTAGTACTTAGATGCACTGCCATAACGTTAAACTGCTCTTCACATGGGATACGTAATTTTTCTTAAAATTATTAAGAAAATTAATTGGTCCTCACTGTGGCATCGCAAAGTGTCTCTGATTTACTGTTGGATTTATTTGGCAAGTATTGAAAGTTGCACTTTCCGGTATTATTTGCTATCAATCTGGGCATGCCATGACCAGTTAGGTAGCTCTAATAGCGCTCTGGCTTGCTAGCAGCTGAAATAACTGCATGAGACCCCATTCTGCTTCAGGACGGAAACCCGTGCAATCCCGAAATAATCCCAAGTGTACAGGTGCTAAATTGAGTTCGACGTTCAAAATCCGACCGGGCATCCAAAGCTCCAAAGCTGAACGTCGTGCCCTTAATCATGTCACGGACAAAAGGCCGTCTCAGCGCATAAAGGGGTGAAAAAATAGATTCTCTGCCGGGTGAACAAGGTTGGTGCCATTAAAAAAGCGTTCGACTATTTTGGTCTTGTCAAAGACTAATGAACCACCTATTTTTATGTGTTTCGCCAGCCAGTACTCCAACATTCCTACGGCTACTGATGTGCCCTTCGTGATTTACCATTTAGACAGAAGCCCCTTCTTAATAAGCCTCCGGGCCCTACTTGGGCCCGTACAAGTACAAATCTCGCATAGGGACCTTTGCCAAACAGCCGATATAATTCAGTCGGGCGTTGAGATAACTATATCAGATTTCATCGTGCATACCAACTGCATGAAAACACAGTGCGTTGTGCGACTATCAGCTCCGCACGAGCTGAATGAAGCCTCGAGGGGCCAACGCGAGTGGGCGGGCTGGGCGGCCGCGCCGCTGCTGACCAGCCAGCGGGTGACGCAGTAGACGCCTCCTCGCCGGGCCGGTTACAGACATTCCGAGCCGATAGCATCATTGCGCGCGGCAGCCGGGCGGGCCGGGCGGGCCGGGCCGGGCGCTGTCCCACATTCGGGCGGCGCCGGAGCCGGTCGCGGCAGTGACACGGAGCCAGGCGCAGGTCAGAGGTCGGGTGCGGCGCGCGGCGGCTCGGCGCGGCCGGCTGGCTAACGGACCGGCTCTCCGCCCGACCGGCAGATGGCCGTCCGCCCGCGTCTGCAGAGCGACGGTGACGGCGGCGGCGGCCCCGCCCCGGCCGCAGGGGTCCCGCGGCCGGAGAGGGCCCCGCCCCGGCCGCAAAGGCCCAGCGGTCGGAGATGGCCGGGTGGCCCCGCCCCCACCAGGCGGCGGCCTCCGGGAGGGCTGAATGGGCCTGAGCTACGGCTGCGGGGTGCTCTGGCGCCTTGGTGCACTGTCATTATGGCCCGCTTTATCGAACAGATCTTTGCGGTATGGCTGGTGCTCACGATCGTGGTTACAATGCACGGCTTAGGTGACAGCACAAAATGCCAACAGTAAAATGATATAAAATCGCGAGACAAAGAGAGAGCTGGAGCGAGAGCGAGGGAAGACAGGTACGCGTCCCCAGTTACACAATTAACTGTCTTCGCCAACAGCCCCGTCAACTAGATTGGGCGTGTCTGCCGAAAACGTTTATCAGACTTTCGCTTCCTGCGCGGTGGCGTCTGCTGCCGTCTGCGTCCGCCGGCTGGCCGAGCCGCGCAGCCCGGCTCCTCAGCGGCGACAGAAGGACGTTAAGCCGTCGCCCGCCAGCCCACCCCTGCCGGTCTCGGGCTGACGGCGTGTCGCGTCACCTTCGGCAGCGACGCCGTCTGTCTGCCGCTCCGTGCGCGGCGTAACCACGGCGCTGACGTAAGCCCGGTGGACGACACTGCACATCACGTGAGCGCTGCGGCGCCGAGAAGTCACGCCGCCGGCAGCCGGCGCCGTAGGCGTGACATGTCAGCCGGCGGTGAGCTGCTCACGCCCCCCCCCCCCCCCCTCCCCACCCTGGCGACCACCCCCGCTACCCTCCCCAGCACCCCTCCCCCTGGCAGCCGACGCCACTGGCGGGATATGTCAGCTAGCGGTGAGCTGCTTACGGGCGCCCCCCCCCCCCCCTGTCCCCGGCAACACCCCCCGGCGACCGTAGATCACTGCCGGCCGGCTCCCAGCTGAGGACCATGTGTCAGTGCAGCGCTGTGCCGGAATGGCGCTGAGAAGCCGCCACCCGGTAAAGGTCCGGCTATTTCAAATGTACTCGTGCGGTGCGTGCCCCGGCCCTGTTTAAAGCACGGCTTTGTCTGGATAGCCGCAAGAACTACCGTTTACGCAAGCGTTTTGCTTGAGCTGCTGCTGATGTCATAAAGTAACGATGTGATCGGAGTAATTTTGAGGCATTTCACACACCTATATGCATATGTAAGAGCCATGCTCGAGCTGACCTGTTGGTCCGGATGTGTAACAAAGCAATTTTTCATGACTCAGTCACACCTACATTGCAGTTTCCAGCAGACTGAAGCTTTTGAGACCGGATTATCCGACGGGAAAAGCTAAAGAACGCAACTACTCTCGCGTCTTCAGCCTCACTGATATCCCCCCAGAAGTTACACAATTTCGGATCTCTAACACGCAACACGTTCCCTTATTTCACGTCCAATCACTCCACAATTTCCTATGCATTCCGTCTCGCCGGCTCCTGGCTGCCCCTGCGTCGGCCCCTGACCAGCCCTGCACGGGCCCTGGCCACTCCTCCGCCAGCCCTGGACCGCCCCCCCGCCGACTCCTGACCGGCCCTCCACGGGCCCTGGCCACTCCTCCGCCGGCCCTGGACCGCCCCTCCGCCGACTCCTGACCGACCCTCCACGGGCCCTGGCCACTCCTCCGCCGGCCCTGGACCGCCCCTCCGCCGACTCCTGACCGGCCCTCCACGGGCCCTGGCCACTCCTCCGCCAGCCCTGGACCGCCCCTCCGCCGACTC